GGTCTTGAGAATTGGTGGTTAGAGTCGCTCATTTAGCCTTGGGCTATGGGCACTGCAGCTATATTAATGTGCATGTGCTTAGAAAGGTTGCCCTTAAAGATTGCTGAAGGAAGACTGAAGATCCGTTAACAATTTCACTCTCTTGGTTCTTACTATTTAACACTCATTGGTGCCCCTCTCCTTAGTTAATCTAGCAAAGTGCCGTGTTTAGAAACTTAGAAATAAGGAGGTTCCATTTCCATTTATTCTTCATCTGAGAGAATATTTTAAATTATTAAACAAGCATGTGAGCATTGAGGTCACTCAGTATGACCAGGGAAGTATGCTGTTCCTTTTGTTGGTTCTAGAAATATTTGTTCCCTACCCTCCTTTTGTAATAAGTACCATCCAAAGCTATTTAATTATTGATCCCATGGCTCCAGCTGGCATGGAAGTGTGATTTACAAAGCAGGATTAGCAGTGAAGTGACAATACTGATGAAAGACAAATGTTAGTTTTCTGTTCAGTTTCTGTGCCTGAGTTTGTTTGTTTTTCCAGTGCCTTTGGATTCTCTTGACTCCCATGTCTTCAGTATCTCTTGAATTGTATAGTTAGTTACTTTCTTGAAGCTAAGCTAGTGATGTATTTTGATGTAGTGAAATACTTTAAATAATCATTCATTCAGGAATAATTTCATAGAGGGGAAAAAAAAAAAAAAGTGTTGAAGTATTGCAAAATTCAGTGGTGGCTGGATATAGCTTGTTGGTACATTTCCTTGATATCCAGTAAAGCCATTCTGGACCATTCTGCCACACCATTAGATCTGCATTTACTCCTAAAGAGTCAGCTTGGATTAGTACTTTACCTGTACTGGCAACTGAACTGGCTACAACTTGTTCTTTCATTAGGCTGTTCCCATGGCTTCACAGTCCAGATCTGCTGATATCCTGTTTGAAAAGATATGTATGTCAGGGATTAAATCCAACTGGAAATAGGCACCTATTGTTTTAGTGGCACATTGCCTGTTCCTCCTATGTTTGTAGGAGAACCAGGGAAGACTTTTCTTCATATAGCTTCAGCGGAGTGTGCCATATTCTTATATCTTGGAAACTATTGCTTAAATCCTGTGCAACTAAAAGCAGCAGTTTTTATATCAAGATGTAAAACATAAGTGTCAGCTGAAAGTAGTCTTGCCTAGCCTGAAACAGAAAACATTACTGGTAACTGCTGTGGGCAGCTGTAAAGATAGTTTCTTATTTGTTTAACATATGGGGAATGTGTAACAGGAATAGTCTATTTTTGTGCAATTAAAAAAGTTGTTATTCTTCCTCATCTCCTGGGAAAACATATTTTTCACTTGGTGAGCTAGACAACAATGGAAAACTAACTCACTGTAATCCTGTTCTCAGTTCTTTCAACATATAATTCCCACACAGTTGAACACTGGAGGCATCTTCATCGCTTCTTGTTTATGAGCCTTCATTTCTGCTACACGTGTTCCATACACCAGGATCAAAATGGACTTTTGCTTCCTATCAGCTAAACTGAGGAGATTTTTATCAAAGTGAGAAGTATATCTATGGAGTTTTAGACTGTCTGCAAATTGCTTCAAAACTTCCTCAATTACAAGCTTAAGTGTCTGTGGTCTTTCACTATATGGCATATTCTTCGCTTTCTTCAACTTTATTGTAGTTTCCACAGTGATCTTTCCCTATGTATCAGTGTTCTTTCCAGAAACAGATGCGTAGCAATACATGTGGAGGGGGAAAGGCAGAAAAACTGCCATGTGATGATGAACAGACTGTTGCATTGAATGTGGCTCATGGAATAGAGTTACGGTTTTCCTTGCTTCCCTAGTAAATTCATACTGGCCCTGTGAAATGGGACACAGCAAATTTGGAAATGGTGTTTGAGTAGCTGGACTTGTAAAGGAAAGGTAAGAAAACTATGTGTCCCCTGAACCTTCTTGCTACCTCATTACAGTAAAAGCCAAGTTGTGGGGTATTGTGCTGCAGAAGCTGTGGATGTTTTGGCAAAGCCCTGTTAATGTTTCTAGCACTTGTAGTTTTGTTAAACTTCTAGTACTGAGACAAACAGGGTTTCAGACTGAACACCTACCTTCCACTGCCTGCATTGCTCCTGGATTTGCGTGTGATATTGGACAAATCATTTAAGTCCTGGGGTTTTCTTGTTTATAAAGCCAGTATTATACTTTTATGTATATTTTAATATCTAGATATTTATGAATGTTTCACTTATGTGGAGGAGAAATGGTTCACAAAAACAAGGTAACACTTTGATACATTTAGTTGCTGGTTTCCTAACCTGCATTTGGATTAGTAATTTCTATTGCTCACCATCACTGCAGTGCTTCTGGGCAGTTGAAATGTACAATGCAACCAGTAACGTTTCGCCAGAATAGGTTTTGGTTTTTATATTAGTATCCGGAGAGCAAAATTAGGGGAACTGTTGCTCTGACTGATGCTGCTGTTTAAGCTGGAGTGTAGTAGTTCTACCAGCTGTTAAGATCCAAGTTGTTTTCTTTGAAAACTAAGTTATTTTTTTAACTCAGAACTGAATTTTGGACCTTAACCTGTATCTTGGTGAAATAATTCTTCTCAGCATTCAACTTTTAGGTACATCCTTGTCCTGTCAGATTTTGGTTTGATAGATGATTGCATGTTTGGTTTAGGTGCCATATGTGTAAATAATAATCTTCTGTCATCTGTGATAGCTTCACTGTCATGTTCTTAAACCACACCTTATTCCTCCCAATTTATTCCAAATGAGTTCTAAAAGTATCCTCTTTGTTCATGTCTAAGGTTATCATCTTCCCTGTTCTCTCTCTTCTGTGTTTTGCAATTTTTATATGCGCTAAATATTTCATTATATGAGGGTAGCGTTAATGTGCGATGGCACCCCACATAGTCAAGGCAAACCCAACAGTCACAGTTATTATTCAAAGCAATTATAAGCAGTATGAAGCCTTTACATAAAAGAGGATGTCTGTCCCCTCTCTTTTTGGGACATGCTATTGTCTTTCCTTTCAAAAGTGGCTGTATTTTGGTAATCCTGCATAGATTTTTCAGGATAGCAGTTACTATACAAACACAAGTGTTATATGACCTCAAAAAAAACCTGTGAGCTGGAAAGCTAAATCTGGCTCTAATGAATGAAGTCCGAAAGCTGACAGCATTCAGCAATTTCACAGGCTTGGGATATTTTCTAACAAGTAAATTCATTTCTGAGACTTGTTGACAGAAACATCAAGAATGGAACTGCTGCCTTTGCCTCCACCCACCCCAGCAAAGAGTGGGGGGAGAAAAGCAGCTCTTTATAAATAGCTCTGTTCCTGTCGTATTTGTAAATTCAGTGCTTTTTGTGTCAATGACATCACCCTCTTCTCCATGGCAACTCCCTACGATGTCAAAACTGCAGGGCACCATCAGAGAAACTTAAACCAGCAAATGAACAGGTTGATTCAAGATGATTTAATTGAGAAATATACAGGGGGCGACAGGAGGGGGTGGGAAACATGAGCAAATGGGCTGTCAGCCCTGCTTCTCTGGAAAGCTTGCATCTGTAACGATTGCCTCCTAAAACTCTGTCCCATCTTCTTTTTGTAAGCCCTTGCCAGGAGGAGGAGGTGGGTGGAAGGCAGGCAGGCATCTTATTCTCCATCTCCGGTGTGTCTGGAGAGAAGCACTACAGGTGACTAAGCAGGAGGAGCATGACTGACTCACTCCTCAGTTATTTTCTCACTCTCCTTTTCTCCCCCCTCCCATCTTTTCTGTTTGTTTTTCAGCTTTCACCCAACAGCTTGTATTTTTCCCCGGGCCCTGATGAGAAAGAATTAGCAGCAGGCTTTCTTGTTACCTAATGTTCACAAAAATGTGCTTGTGGTTATCCAGGTGAGGAAATAAAAGCCAACTCTAAAAGCAAGAAAAATGAATTGTCTGTTGGATATGACACCTTTATCTTAAAAAAAAAAAAAAGTGCTTCTCTTTTCTGAATGTTGTCCAGGAAATACTAAAGTCACTGACATGCCAGTAAACTGTAAATAACTGGCTTCTTTATCAGACTACCTATGGAAAATACCTAATTGTCTCACTGGCAGCCCTGCTGGTTTTGACTCGATTTCTAAACTGACTGCAGTGGGGGGAAGCTATTTCACTTGCTGTCTTGATTACAGAATTGGATTCTGCTGGGTTCCATTTGAGACTCAAATAGCAGAAACATAATGGTTACATCTGCAGAGTTTCAGCCAGTGTAAACTGTCACTGCTTCAATCAGCTTAATAAATCTGTCCTAATTTACATCCCTATGAAGTCTAAAGCCTTAGAAGAGTTTACCTTCCTCCTGCTGGGTGCCATGAGATCTGTTGCTGAAATTTAGCCTGCAGAAGTGTCAACTTGATACTAGATTTTGCATTTTTGAGATTGCATGACATGAGCGCAGGCAAGTTATGCAGGATCAGCACAACGCCCCCAGAGTTCTTCTATCCAGAAAGGGACCCAGCAATGCTCACCAGATCAATAAGTAACACTTTGGTTTGCTTGAGCAATTGAATAATGCTGTATTTGCTGCTCGTGGGCTGCAGTTTATACCTCTATAGGGCACAGGAGTCTTTAATCACAGATTGTCAAGTGTGAGGCTTTCTTATGTCTGTTAACTCCTTCCCCACCCTGGAGTGAAGCCCAAATCAGCCAGCCTGTGATTTCCAGGCTTAGTTAAGGGGAAATGCCGGTATAGTCTTTACACACTAGAATCTTGATTAGTATCTTGCTTTTGCCTTCTATGCAAAATGTCACTCAACACACAGTCCCATCCTCTTTGCTGAGATCACAGCATCAGCCCACAATAAAAAAGGTCCCAGAAAACATTGATTCACTGCATTACAGAATCTTGATAGTGATATGTGTCTACAATGGGATCTCATCAGTTCTAACTGTAAGGTTTTAATGGAATTTATCACCGTGGTCTCCTCTGTCCTCCAACTGTGAGGCTATTTTACCTTCAGTGAATTCTTCTAACACCTCTGCTGACAGCCAGAAAGAGGGGGCGTGTGGCACTGATACACTCCTCCACGGCAGCTGGCATTGGGGTAGTGCTGGTGAGTAAGCAGCGGCGAGCTCGATGGGTTTGCATGTGTGTAAGACTGAACCAGGAGCTTTCTGAAGAAGCTTTAAGATGAAATTGCTGAGAATTTTTGCCTGAAGCAAGGGATGTTTCCTGTGTTTAAGACAAGCAGCAACCTGCAGTCAGAAGGAAGAAACGACGGAATTCACTCCAGAAGTATTTCTCTGGGATCTTTTTTTTCAAGGTAAGAGTGCTATTGTGGGAGGTAGATGGGGCAACAAGGTCCAGCATTCTGAACATTAAAATTTACATGATTTCTAAAATTTATTTTTATCTTCCCAAGCTGTAGAGCTGGGATAAATCACTGATGTCTCTGGCACTCCCTTTTTAGGCTGGAAATTTAAATTGGCCAATAAGAACTAATTTTCTGAGGTCTGAAGCCATTAAAAAAGGGGTGAGGAGGAATGCTTTTAACACTGCCTTTTGCCTGCTTGTATTCTAGTGGTGAATAAATTCCATTGGCTGTGCTTCTAAATCATGTACTTAAATAGTAGAATGATGGGCATTGTAGGAACAGTGGGTGAATTAAAGTAAAATTTAGTAAATAGACATGAGCTTATGGCTTATTAATTTTGGTTAATGCTTGTAAACATTGACAGAGTATTTGTTCTGTTGGAGGCAAAATGAAGATGGTTCCTGCCTTGGGAACTCGAAGGTTTTAAATTGAAGAAATGCTATTGAAACAAGAGCAAGAAGATAGGATATTTTTTTTAAAGCATCTATTTGAATTACACCTGAACAACCAGTTTATCACTGTTGAAAACTCTTTGTGGAAGGGCCAGAAAGTAGTAGAGAGCTCCTTGTCCCAGCTGTAGGCATCTCACTTGAAAAGCTTTATTTAAGGTAGGAAAAAAATACGTTGAATGTATAGAGGTGGCTCTGGAAAAAACTGGTGAGTAACATTTAAAAAATATTTTATCACCAGTATCCCCTCCTCCCAAGTATAAACCAAAAACTGAAGCTCCTCCTAGTTGGGCACCCTCCAGACAGAATCGTATACTTAGGTTGCGGTGTATAAATTATAGTCCTTGATGAAAGTACAGCAGAGTACGAATCTTACAAAGGTGCTGGAGCCATTAAGGAATGGACTTGCTAAGCCTGGAAGTGCAGGGAAGAGTGTAGGAGTGAGTCTACGCTTTCTCTTCATATGCTAATTGATCTAATACTTGTATGCAGTTCCATTTTGCTCTTGGAAAAGGAATAAAATATGTTCATGAAAGCAAAAATATTTTGTTTAGGGAAGTAAGTGCAGTTAGTAAACTTTTGCACCTAGAGCTGAGAAGGAGCAAAAAGCCTTGTTAAGTCTGTGAGAAGTAAAATCAAAATGATCTCTGACTTGTTGCCTCCTTTTCCCTTCCCTGTGCGAGGTGAGGAACGGAGCATGCCAAGGGGGGAAGCTGTGCTCTGGGAAGGCTGCAGAGCAGTTAGGTGAGGTGGCCTGGGGAAGGGTACTTGTGCCCAATACTCAGGTAGGGAACGATGGCCAGGAGGATGTTTGGTGCCAGCAGGCGTTGCGTAACTTTATGCTGTCTCCGCAGCTGGCTTTGCCAGGCGGTGGAGCAGTTAATGCAGTTGGATGCTGCTGCTGCACTTTGGTTCCACTTTGTAGAAATAGTTGAGATGAGGATATTCCTGCCAGCTTCACAGTCAGGAGTCATCAGTTCTGCCTCCGACACTTAGGGAGCATGAATGAATAACTCTTACAACATTAATCTAGGGCAGCTTCCAAGAATTCTGTGTACTAAATTCTAGAATACATTGAGATCTGATTCATTATTCAGGGAGAGCAAAGTCTTTGAAGAGGTGTTTACCCAGTGTGTGCGCATACTGAACTTCAAACTCCCAAAGAAAACCTGCCTTGGCAACTTTCAGTAGTATATTTGGAGAGGATAGATGCAACATCAGAGGGCAGGGGAGCAATGGACATGCAAGCAAAGCTACAGAGGAGCAGGGAAAGCAAAGAGGGACAGTAGTAGCTGTGGGCTGGTGCATGGGACAGCACAGCAAGCAACATGGCTTTGGGGGGGGTATGGAGGAGGATGTTGCTTGTGACAGGGTCACTTGACATCAGTTTAAACTTTTAGTAAAATCTTGTGTTTCTTTTTGCGGGTAGGATTGGTGGGAGAGTGGGCTTTTTGCAGTTCCTGAGAGAAGCATAGAAGGAGGGATAAATAGGAAGAAGCAAGTGATACTGCTGGAGAATACAAAGCACAGTAAGATAGATAAAGGTGCTCTTAATTGAGAAGGAGGATTGGTATTTAATTAAAACTACTGCTAAAAACCAGGCTCTTAGTAGTAAAATAAATAATAGCAGGACATGAGTAATTCCTCTCAGGGGAATGTCGGAGACAAAATTACACTAATGTAATAATAAAAGGGACCTGTGTGCAATTGCTCAGAGGAATAGTAACAGGATAAAATGGCTTTTCATTGCTAAGAAGTTCAAACGTGGTTCAAGTCAAAAGGGACTGAAACCTGTTAAAGCACCTGGTCCTCAGGGCTCTCGGGCCATTTCAGAAGACAGAGTTGTCTGAGTTACTGAACCCGCCATTGATGCTTTACTTGGCAGTCCCAGCAGAGAGGAGAGAGATTGAGCTGCTTCTCTGCTTTAGCAAATGATGGCAAGTTAAGTGTGCTGCTTGCTCTCTTGCGGCTCAGTCAGTATGTTTTCAGTGAATTAAAAATATGTATTTCAGGCCCAGACTTTGGACAACTGAGCCATGTGTTGTGCATCTGGAGGCAAGAAAGAACATTAAACCATCTTTTGCTTCCTTATTTACCTCCTATCCCTCACTTCTAATCATGAAATCATTTCAGAGCTCTGTCTGCATTTTTCAAGCTGTGATGCCCATTCTGGTAAGGCGGTTAAATAGCATAAACTCATTAACCATTCTCAACTGAGTAATATACAGTGACATGACATAATTACTTTTCCATAGCTGGTTTGCATGATGCTGCACTTCAGTTTTTGTTACTCTTTTCAGTTCATCCTTTTAATTTCCGTGACGTCCATCTGTTTACCAGACAAGGTTTAGAAAAAATTTTGGGGAAAAAAATAATTAAAAAAAATTTCCAGAATACAAAAAGAAAAAAACCACACAAGTGAGTGTAAAGGGGATTTAACAAAGAACAGAGGTATTGGGACACTGGAATGAGAACTGCTGTTGCCCAAGGCAGGAAAGTGAGAGAAGATCCTGGATACTTGGGAACTGGAAAAGCAGGCAGTAGAACCTTTTTATTTTCTTCCACATTTCCTCCTTCCTTACCCCAGCCTGGAAAAAGAACCTAACGAACTAACCACCCCACCTCCCCCCAGAAAAAAACCCAAACCAAAAAGCAAAATAAAAACCACCAACCACCCTGAAACAGCTGCCATTCTGTCTGTCTGAATGATGTCTTCTTTACAAAGACTGGCATGCATTGCTATAGTTAGTTATTGGTCATTTCCTTAAAAAAAAAAAAGTCTCTAACAAAAATTCATGTTCCTCTGGACTTGCTTAAAGCCTAGCAAGGAACAGTGCTGCTTCAACCGAAGAGCACTTGGGAAACGGTCGGGTGATGTATTTTTTTATTCTGCAGGTTGCCAAGGGGAAGGGAGGTGGCCCTGTGAATCTCTGAGACAGTCATGTTACCATTTGCAAGAGCAGTGCTTTGCAGGAACCAAGCACAAGCACGGCCCCCCCCCAAAAAAAAAGTTTAGTCAAGGGAAAGTGTAAGGTGATAGTGGTTTGTGGTAAATATGGAAGGTAATTCCTAGTCCACTCTGGAGGATCGGTGTGTAGCCAAGCTACAGCTCTGAGCAGTGCCGTTTCTGGTGGCGACCCCGCAGAGGCACTGCAGTCAGCATCCGCTGGCCAAGGGCAGGTATCCTGCCGATATGATGTGGAGATACTTGAAACACCATTGTCTAGAAAAGAGGTTTTAGTTCTTAAAATGAAACATACTGTTTCAAGCTAGAAAGCAAACATACTCAGCAGTTTCAGCAGACACAACTGTCTCTGTGAACTGATAATGTCAACTTGATGGCTGTGAGCTCAGTTGTTTTTCCCCTGAGAATCTGGTTAAATTGGACTGTCTGTAGTGTCAGTGTTATCTTACTGATGGCCTTCTAGTTTTCTGATGCACAATGCCTTATACACGACTATATTTGGTTTTTCTTATACTCTGTTGTCTTTTTCGTGGAGATGAGAATTTTCATAGATCTCACCAGTCTCTTCTAAATCAGATTGTATTCATGCTACTGTTTCCAGAAGACAGTACTAAATAGGCTGCAGAGCCTTGGTGGTGTAAAAAAAGAGTATGGATCAGGCCACTGTCTTCCCTGTTGTGTTGTGGGTACATTTTTTTCTCACCTGAGTCTTCTTTCAAAGCTGTGACTTTTCAAGACATAGCAGGAGCTCTGGGTCTTTTATAGCAGAGCTGAAGAACAGTGTTTAGATGGGGAGAATGGGTATGGAAGACTTGCCTTAATCTGGACCGGGAACAGAGGGGTTAATATGTGTAGTGGCCAGAAGGCACTACACAGAGCTTAAAATAGCCAAGATCAGGTTAATTTGGCTTTAAAAACCACCTGGGTCTTGATTCAGTGTTCATTAAAATTCATAGTAGCCTTACGATTGGCTTCTGGAAGAATTAAGCAGGGTGTTACACTTTATAATGAGTACTTTGGGCCTCGTCCAAGAAAGTATATAAATGCATACAATAATGTTAGAAATTAACTTATTTCCTGTAACATAGATTTTAGAATAAGAATCTAGCGCTTGTGGAAGTCAGTGAAAAAACTCTGTTTTCAAGGGACTTTGGACTGGATCTGAAGAACAGATGTTACTGCTGACTCTGGAAAGCATTCTCTCTGGGCAAGTCATCTTTGAGCTGTTCATGCTACAGCAAGCTGTCCAGTTTGGGTACACACGTAATTAATTTGCAGAAATCAGAGCACCTGGGTGTGTAGTGAAAGGTGTGGAAAATCAGATTGCAGATCTAGATGCTGTTATGGAATATTTGGGCCATAAAATGAAAAATGTATGCTGTGTTTATTTCATTACAAACCTAAATGTATAAAGTAACGTTACAAGTAGTTTAGATCTTGTACCACCTCATCAACCATAGATGACGTTAGTAGACAAGATGATCCTGTTTGTTACTGAGGAAACTTCCTAATTTCTGACACTTTATAATAAATTA